TCTAAGTCGTAGGATAATTGGTAATCGAGGGGTCACCATGCAATTCAAGTGCAGTTTCGTTGAAAGGTTCCGAGCTGAACCAAGTAACCGAAAATACCAGACTAAAGATCATTGATGGCAGATTTTCATATTCCAGGCATAAAAATGTGCCATAGCATAGTCCGGAGCGCTTCAAGGTTAAACGAAACTAAAGGTCGGAACATTACAATTTTTTTTCAGGTAGAAAAGCCTCATTGAACACTCAGATCTTATCAGGCAGCCTCAAAAATTGCTATAATGTGTCCCAATAAGCTGAATACTCTTGACATGGCCAATCAAGTGTGGAGTTTCTGAGTTCGGTGTCTTATTTGCATTGAATTAATTGCTGTTGCCTAAGTGAAATCTATTAATGGATTACAGGATGGATTCCGGAGACATATGGCTAGATTCTGAAGATGATTTGCAATGTGAACTGCAAAAAACTTAATTTAAATCCTTGAAGATTGAATAACTCAGTGAGAGGGGAGACCAGTATGTTTGCTTGTATGTATATAAAAAAAATATTTATTAGACCAAAAAGTAGTGGGTAGGCACTGTGGCCAATGGTAATCAACTATTACCACCTCCCCCGGTGTTAGCAGTCGCGCCTAAACAAAGATAAAAATAGATCTTAGTAAAAATTGCGGTTATATCTTTGTACCAACGATACTAAACCATTTTGAACTTGCATCACCTATGTATACACATTCAAGGGTAAATTCCATTTCAAGTGTGATATTTTTTGTTTAAAATTTATTTCATTCTCAGCTCTGAAACCGGAGCTGATCAGAGTTGGGCGCTTGACCGTGCTATGAATGCCAGTAAGGATTGGAAGGATATCTTTGCGAACTCAACGCTTCGGTTAGGTGTTTCACGGCGAAATTCATCCAAGCGAAACCGTTATTGATAAAATTTGCTCTTAAATTCAACTGTCAACGGTACACACAACATGTTGTCTCAAATGATTAAAAACATATTCATCGATCATCAAACACTCAACTGTTGACTCTATCAGAAGTACACAAAAACGCGTTCAGAAAGTGCAATCGAAACAGTTTAGGGGGATTCATCTTTCTTGCTCAGAGCTGGGAGAGGAACTGCGAAAAGCTCTGAAAGCTTTTGGGTTATTAACTCAACTTTAACTTTAGGTCAGAACTAAAACTTTTGAACCAAAATGTTTCAAGAAAAAAATCGTTTTTGGGCGGAACGAAATTCGCCGGGCTCTCTAGTTTTATTCAATCTGACCAGTACTGTACAAAATCGACAAATTCGCTTCTAAGAAATCAACATCCGTATTAGACTTTTAAAAGTCTGCACCATAGCAGTCGTCTACGATCCACAAACCTAGCGAATATATAATTTAACAGCAACTTACCCTCTCCTCCCTATAACATCCAATTTTTCACTGCATTTACTAATATTTTAACACACTGTGCGCTCATTTTTTCTTCCCTCAATTCAACACGCTTTGATTATTTTTGGCATGAGTTTAGTTATTTTGGCTATGAGTTTAGGAATCATTTGTCTGTTTGCATCAATCCTACATTTTGTGTACACACATACATAAATACAAATATTCAGAGGGGATAAGTGTCTTCTTATACACTTATTAAACAATAATAATTGTAAATAATGTTATTTTATTTAGACAAGAAATATTAACTTGATACCCTCTACATGAGTGTACAAATCTCGCACACACTCTTCCCCACCTCTACACTCGGATGTAATGTACTTAACTTGAAGAATATTAAGATTTCCAACCCTCTGCCACTCGTACACAATTACATAAGTACGCTTAAGTGCCGCAGTCGAGTCAGCTGCTTTTGCGTTGGCGTCGAACCCATAATTTTGGCATTCATCAAGAATTTGTTTTGTGCACATCCCTATGCACATCTTTACAGATCTAACACAATAGAGTGGCTTCACTTGCTGCTACTGTATTTAAACTGTGTCTGCTGAGTTGACTTGATTCGATTTGAATTTCTCATTTTGTGTTATTTCTTATACAGCTAATGAGTACCCTTACTAATTTCCATAGCATAGATAAAGCCTCCACGTCAGCAGTTTAGGTGGAAAGTGGTGGTGCCCAACCACTGACGACCGCCATCGCCACTTACTCTTCGCCAGGCACATTTTGACAGACGACTGCGGTTGGGATGATGTACGCCGGCAACTTTCATTAGTGGTTTTGTATTATAACTAGAGTATCCTTTTCGGGTTGGAATGTTGTGGCACAGCCGACTACAGTGGAAACAATAATATGCTCAACGCTTGAGTGACAGCCAGCAGACAGCAGCAACAGTGGTAAGCAACCACATTTGCCATCAAAATTGTTTTGATTCCTTGTTGCTGGCAAGATGAATTGCTCTACTTGGATTTGGTGTCACATGCGGGCGACAAGTGTGAACATTATCCTGAATTAAGCTAATTTCTTGAGTGGTTTTTTGGAGTGTCACACTTCTGTGTGTGTATAAAGGTTGCTGATTTTGATATGTGTTTGCGTGTTGTACGAGCCTTCGTGGATGTCAAACTTGTAATTTAACTAAATGAGTGTCTTACAAAATATTTGGTTTTGATTAAGTGTCGGCAATTGTTTGTTTGTTTTCTTTTTCCTAATACCTTAAATGTATGGCTTGATGCTGTATTTTGATGACTGAGCAGCTCATAGTATGAACATATTCGAGTCAAATTAACTTATAATGATGTTTTTTAAGTCAGGTATGTCTCTTTAGGGCGCAGAAATTTGAAATACACAAGTCCCGATGTTGAATAAATCAGTGATGAAATATTATAAAGAACATATAAGAAATTTCTATGGACTAATTTAAAACAAGGTTATATCGAGAAGTAAATGTTGCTGTGTTTCTTTAATTAAATTATTTCGTCTCCGAAAGAACTTCTACTCTTAGCGTTTGACCTGCCATTTAGCCTAACCGTGTGGTTTTCGATTACACAACAGCTAGTTAAGACTCTCATCTCCCCCCTTGGTCGGCCAATGCCTCATAACGTCAGGGCTATGTTTTCCTAACAAGCCGTGCTCTATCTTGAGTTTGTACCACTTTTGTTGGCCTATACGGTAGGCTGATATTATGTGACATCTATGGCCCGGTTTCTGAAGACTTTGAATACAAATTTCCTTCTGAATGCGATATGGTCCTCGATTGAGGCCTAGTTTGACCTCTCTACCTAGCTTACCAGCAGTCTCTTTTGCGAGAATGTTTCGATAAACATTCCGTAACCAGCTTGGACTTTTTTGTAAATGGCCGACAGACTTCTGACTGGAAAATACACGCAAAGTCAGATTGTTTGAATCTGAAAACACGTTTACTTCAAATCCCATAAACTAAAGTTGACGAACGAAACAGTAGATATCAAATTCTCTGTCCCAGTCGGCCCCGTCGCTGTCTACTTTCTCACGATTATGCTCCCTCCGTACGCCCGTCCACTAAAACAGGAAACCGTAACATATTGTCGGATTGCCGTTAGGGTTAACCCTTGTGTGTTCAACCAGGTACCCGGGTACACATCGAAACATATTGTATCAAATAACTTTTTTCTTAGAACGATTTTTTAAAATCCTCCCGGATCCTCACGATTTGACTGAATTTGCATTTAAAATATTTTATATTTCTTTTCAGCCTAGAAAATTTTTAATTTGAAAAAATGTACCCGAATGGTCCAACCGGGGTACCCGGGTACCCATATACAAAAAAAGCGGAAGGATGTATAAATAAAAAAGTTATAACAAATAATATTGTTTTTTAATTGATTATTTATTAAATTGAACTAATATAAATAATAATAAAAATAATGTTTAGTTTACTAAAATAACAAAAACATATTTTTTTTTTTTACTTTTCAGGCAATAAAAATAAAAAGATTATGAATTATGAAAAATTGTACAAAATTTGCAGCCAATTTTTAGATATAAATTCGTAAATGGGTACCTAGGTACCCCGGTTGGGCAACAACGTTAATTAATTTGGTTGAGCACATAGGGGTTAAGACACCACGTCTTCTCCGGGAAGCCGCTTGCTAGGAATAATCCTGTATTACCCACAATGGTTCAAAATCTGTCTATATAGTTATTTATCCTTGAAACTGAGGAAGTTAAAATCATATGTCGTTACAAAGATTCATGCCGGTAATTTTTTTATACATATTGTGTCACAAATATACCGACTTCCATTAAGGATCAGTGAAAAATTTTTTAGAAAGTAAGAAACCAGAATTTAAAAACAACAAAGCTTCGGCTAAAATTTTTGGGGAAGCGAACATTGATGTGGCTTTATATATAGATTATACTTTTGCAGTTTCTATTTTATCCTTGTGTACAATTTTGCTGAAAGTATTTACTAGTTGCATATGCGAGCATATTTTTATTTTCAGCAGCGTTTAAAATGCCGGTATCTCTCATTAACGACAGCGATAAGTTGAAGTCATGAATAATTCATCAAGCGCTCGAAGACACATGTCAAGTACTCTGCGGGACACATCTACGCGAATATAACAACAAAAAAAAACAACAAAAAAAAACACTTCTCTTTCAAACCGACAATGGAGAACCTTAAAAGGCATTTGTGCCGGCTCTTACAAAGTACGAATTGGGTGCTTTTAAACGGGATTTGATGCCCCGTTTTTCCTCATCCCAAAACACAGAAACCCTACTGCAAGCTATTTACTTGCATACAAATCTATTTATTTTATTTGTATGCCTTTTAATTCCTTAAAACATTCACTTAACTGAACTTTACACGCAGCCAGTGCGGAGGGGCGTATGAGCAACAAAAACAAAAAAAAAGCCGAAGAACTTAGCTACCAAAACACACATGAGGGTAAAGGATTCCACTGAAATGCACTGCAGCTGCCATCAAACTTAAGTAAATGGCCAGCGAGAGAGTGGGAGAGGAGTGCTTGGGAGCGGGGAGAGGGTGTGGAGGTGGAGGTGGTTTATATAGCCGCTTTGTGTGTGCACTTACCTGGTGACAGCTCCTCGGTAATGCCCTGAATGGACACGGTAAACAGTGTCAATATGATGGCAGCAACTAGCAGCCATTGTGGTTGGTGCCGCTGATGTTGTTGTGGTTTCGCCTGCAGGCGATGCTGTTGCTCCAGTTGGCCGACTTTAGCGGCTGCTGCTACTGCTTTCGCTGGCTCACCTGCTGCCATTGCAGTGCACACGCTGAACAGTTGCTGTGCTTGTTGTTGTTGTGGCCGCCACTGGCAGTGTCACACAAATGTTGCAACACTTTGCTTTTGTTAATACTTTGCTTTGCTGTTTGTTTTACGGACACTTTATTTGATTTATTTTATTTTTGAACTATTCTTCTTTGCCTTTTCAAAAATGGCGGTGTATGTCGATGCTTAAGTTCTTTACATTTGAGTTGAGGCTTGTTTCTTGTATTATTTAGTGTGATTTTTTTCTTGTTGTTTTATACTTTCGTTGCAACTGTGCAACTTCACTTTGTCACTTTTGTTTATTTGTCTTACTGCTTTTCGCCCACTCGTCGCCCACTTTTCTTTATTTTTTTAGCAATTTCCATTGCTTTTAATATACAGTTTGTGCAAATAGGCAAACATAGATTTTTCACACAGTTACGAGTACAACAATGATTTGTTGCAGTGAATTGCCGTTAAAGTGCATCGGACAAGTTTTGAACTTTCAGTTTCTTTGTTTTTACCAACAACACTGTGCTTTGTAGTTTTGTCGAACTATTTTTGTTCCTTTTCTTCTACTTCGTCTTTACCTTTAGTTTTTAATGGACAATTCTAACAGTTGGCAGTTGGCACTTGACCTGCTCTTTTACACGCTCTCTGTTTGACACTTTGCTGTCGATTGAAATGGCAAATGCACTTGGCGTTAACCTTTTATTGCTCACTGTTTTCCCTTGTTTGTCACTTTCGAGCCTGGTAAATGGAATAGAAAATGGCAAATGAATTTTTGTACGACTGACTTACATTTTAGATGCTTTGCAATTACAAGATTAAATTGAATTTTAAAATCGTTTAACAATAAGTGGAATGTTTAGTAGAAAAAATTCGTTTACGAGGTGTATACAGGCGGGTCCATATTGTGCTCTTTTTATTAATAATATATTATTTTGAGAGCCAAAAAAACTTTCGGCTAGAGGTCTTGGCATATAGTCAATATCGTATTTCCGCTGAAAACCCGCACGTGCTCGTCGAGAAGCCACTGCATCCTCAGAGAGCGACTGTTTGGTGCATATTTTGGAGCACTGGCATCAGTAGCCCATCTAGAATCTCCATTCCGGTCAACGTCGAGCGCTATAGAGCCATGCTTATTTTTTTGTGACCGGAACTTGAAGAGATGGCTTTTGCAAGAAGTTTGAAATTTGGATTTACATGGCTTTTGTTCGATAAAAAGCTATGATTTATAAAAACAAAGTCATAGGCATTTAACAAACACAATGAAAACAGTTAAAATTTGTTTATCATATTTTCTGTATCGTGATATGTACTTAGAAAGAGAAAAATTACACCGGTTTACAGCAAAAATGTTCAATGGACTACACTATCCAATTCCTAAATAGCATTGCCCGCAGATTCCGAAAATCTAATTAATTATTTATTCTATGGAAAAGTTTTCGAGATATGTTCAATTTACTGTTATTCAGCTAAAAACAAAAAATAATTTCACTTAGTCAAATGGAAGAATCGTAATACCAAAGAAATTAATTTCTGTTAATTTATTTTTAATTTTTTTAAATGAAGTTACTATATAGACCACCCTGTACATACATATATACGTATGCATGTGCACTAATATGTGCTTTGTGTTTGTACAGACAATTTTTTTCTAAGGTACGCACCAATACACCGCCGTTTGACCATAAAAACTAGCTTTGCGAAACATTTTCAAAACTGCATAACGGAAAGACGTGCTACTATAGACTGAATTTGGGAAAATGCATGAATTTATTTCAATGGATCTATTGGATATGATCAGTGTACGAAAATAAACTATATTGTACGTTACTATTTCGTTTCGTTTATTACTTCAACAGTTCGGTACAATACGAAAACAAAACGGCTGAGTTCACTTTGCGATAGTACACTACAGTAGTATGTAGTACATGTTTTTTAATTGAATTGGATATGAAAATTTACAGAAAAAATTATTTTTCACGTAATTGAAACGTTTGCATACATATAAAACGTACCCTATGGTGTAATTGTCACAAACGAAAAGCAAACGTTTCTCGTTGGGGAAAATGACAGTGAATCTTTCAATTTGTTTCTGACTATGTACAAAACTGTACAAAACCACAAATGATATGTGACCTGGTCTACGAAAAGGGAGCTTACGTGCGAAAACTAGTTTTCTGTGAAAAAGCTGTTAAAAATAAGCAACTCGTTTCGTCAGTTTCTCATTATCTCGTTAATTGTTCTCCGCACCGGACGTCCAGTAAGTGTTGTTGTTGGTCCAGTAAGTGTTGTTGTTGGTCGGAATATTATTATAGTTCATCGTGTTAGTTGCTAGTGTGGAACATTTAAAAAAGTAACACTGAAGAAGTGACGTTTACTGTTTCTGTTGATTATCGTCTTCGCATTTCGCATGAAATGAAACATGAGTGTTGATGAGGAGTTCAGTGCCGTATACGGACAATACTCAGCATTATTATTTTTGGCCCATAATACGTTTTTCTAGTGTATAATCATGTCTTTATAGCTTATAATTCAATGTATTTTGTTCATTACCAATAAATTATATTTTGTCGTATTTTTACTCTTCTTTCTCTACATTTTTAGTACACTTCTAAGCAAGTTAGGATTTTCTGCTTTTCACCACGTGAAAAAGCATCTCATCTTCCATCCGAATCAACCAAAAAGTGAAAATTGATTTTTTGACACCTAAGCCCCCTTTCCGTAGACCAGGTCACATATGATGATCGATGAGCAAATGGGAATTGTTTTGTACAGTTTATTTTCGTACCCTGGATATGATCACTATATAAGCTTATTTATTTCAATGTTTTTAGTGTATTTTTAAAATTGGCCTTAAATATGGCTACAGAAATTTTACAACTCCTAAAATTTTCAATTTATAGAGTTATTTTTGACAGTTTTCTTGATTTTGAGAAGTATTTGAGCCTAAAATAATTCATGAAATTTCCGAGCGTCTGAAGTGCGTCTTTCGGTCAACCGATTTTAAATATTTTTTGCAGAGCACGTTTTTGTGATAAGACGCAATTTTTACAAGCTTTTATTTATTTAAGCCTTTTTACTTCGTACGCCAAAGATGAAAAATTAGACGCACACTAATTTTCAAATACAACTAAAATATGTATATACTCAGTGAAAAAAGGAAATGTTTGGGAATGCAAAAAGTAATGGATAGCCCCTATAACCTACCCACGAAAAGATGCAAGAATTTGTCCACAACGATATCATACGAAAGTAATGTGTCGCTTGTTGCTTTACGAAACTATAGTGTTAAAGTACTTTTTAAGCAAAAAACAAAACCGACTTCAATTCTCATATAAAAATTTACATATATACAGTGACGAACAAAAGTATTGGCACAGTGAATTTTTCGCCATATATGCAAAGTTTTTTATTTTAATTTATTTTCGATAATTTTTTACAAAAATATAGTTCATTTTACACCAGAAAACGTAACAATAAAATCTAAACTTTGTGCAAAACTCAGGAAAATCTTTAAATTTGCACACTGATTTGCAACTTTTTATTCAGATTTTTTAAAAAAATTCAAAGTATGCAGTATAGCTCATTCAAATTTAGTATAACAAAGTGTAATTTTAAAGTTGCTAAAAAATCGCGTTGATTTTTGTCAATTTTTTTAGTGGAAGGTGTTGCTCATTTTCTCCATACAAAAAATAGTTGTCGAATATACTTTGTATGGAAGAACTTGCGTGAAAAAACATTACCAAAAATCAATGCGATTTTCGAGCGACCTCAAACTTTCACTTTGTTATACTAAATTTGAATGGGCTATAAAACTGCATACTTAGAATTTTTCTAACAAATCTGAATAAAAAGTTGCAATTAGTGTGCAAATTTAATGAATTTTCCTGAGTTTTGCACAAAGTTTAGAGATTTTATTATTATGTTTTCTGGTGTAGAATGAACAATATTTTTATAAAAAATGATCGAAAATAAATTAGAATAAAGAACTTTGCATATATTGCGAAAAATTCACTGTGCCAATACTTCTGTTCGGCACTGTATATACAAAAATATATATTTGATATAAGCACTCTGCATATGCGAATCATGAAGTGCATTCTTGCACTGAATTTGTAAGTAAAATAAAAATATGTAGTTTGACTTCATAAACCCATAATGCTGCATAATTCTAAATGTTTTAGTTTGCATTTTAAACAGCAAGCAAAAACATGAAAAACGCAGTATGCACAATTTTTATAAAATATGTTACCTGCGCGTTAATTTTATCATCTCTAGCTCTCTACTATATTCGGAAAATAAGTTTTGCAACTAAGTTCTCGAATTACCGCCTGCTATTGACAAATTGTGAAGCATTTAATCGGAACTCGTTTTATTGTATACTTATTTATGTTTTTATTTAGAGCTGCATTATAAATGTGTCAGTTCACAAAACTGCATAGCACCACAAATTCTAAAGTTGTTTTTAAAACCAACTTAACACGTTTGACAAGTGCAGATAAACCTAGAAACTTTGCTGAGCGGATAAAACGCTAAGAATAACAACTTGGAAATGGCGCTTATAAAAAAAAAATATCTGCTATGTGTGTGTGCACGTGGTTGGTATGCATGCCATTTGGTATAGTATCCCTGCAGGAAATGGATCTAACTATAAGCTAACTTTAAGTTGATTAGGAAGGAGCTAAAAGTCACTTATTTTCTGTAGATATTTTTTGACGAAACCTAACTATATTTGTATGGCGATGGCCGCGAAATAGTCAAGGGGGTTACCTCTGCATTTGATCTAACTAACTTGTAACTAGCTACTTTTGGACATAAAATATCAATAGGAAAAACAAAATATTTTTTTATATTTTTTTATTTTTATTTACATTATTTATTTTATTACATTTCATATTTGTTTACATATTCTCCTGTAGGTGGGCCCATATTCCAACTCCGTCAGACATAACTTCAAAATGATAATATGAAATTTCGATCTTCCTTTTATTTGTCCTCTATTCGAAAAAGTATTTGCGAAATGCAGAATATTTAAATAGAAATGCGTTTAAAGAAAACTATCTCCTTCATTACTCCTGCATTACTTGTCAACTAGTTTCAAGTTAGCTTTTTGTAGCTAAGTACAGGTTATATATTTTATAGAAATCCCGCAAAATAGCTAACTATAACTGGGTTATTTTTTATCAATTGATAATTTTTTTCTGCAGGGTATGTTCTGCACATGCATACATATTCGAATTTGTATTTTTTCAGTTTCCTACCATTACATATCGCAAAAGTGTCTCCAACTCCAACAGCTGACAGCGATTCATTTACACAATAACAATTGCAAAACGACAGCTATTTTTATAAAATTGGCATAGTTATAAAATGTTGTTTTTATGGAAATTAAATGTACTTTTTTTATAATTCATACTACTTAATGGAAGAAAGCCACGATATAAGAGGAGGAGTAAGTGGTTCAGCAAAGAAGAGTAAGAATTTATAAAAGGTAAAAATGTGAAATAATTTTTGGCAAGATTTTCTTTAAAACTTATTTTACTTTCTTTTATATTATTTTTTATTTTTTTTTTGTATGTTATGTAATTTAATCAATTTTTTTTATAAACGCTATTAAGTGGATAAAAAACGTTTTTAATTCAAGAGTCAATGACTCAAATGATGCCGTATTTGACTTTTTTACGTTATTTGCAATACTTGGCATTTTCCACATACATATTTAAATCATGATGCCTGAAAAG